CACATTCAGAATTTATGCCAACGTTCGTTTATTTAAGTTCTTTGTGTTTTCAGATAGTCTTTCCTAAATTTCCCTCAGTCCATGGAGATGTTCCATGCTGAGAGTGGAACACGGGGATGATGGGATGTTAGAGTGTGTGTTTTCCATACTGGACACTCGAAGGCCTTGTGAATACCTCCATTCCCCATGCCTTGAGACAAACTGAGAATTGCTGTTTTTGCAAGCCCTGTTTGAATTAGATGTCTCTCTTGCTTTTTTTCCTCCTTCTATTTTTCTCTCTCTTTCAAAAACAACAGGCATTAGATGGGACTCCAGCTGTATCTGGTCCACTGGGACTTTGAATCTTTATGCTCTACACATTCAAACCACAAACTGACTAGAGGAACTTTGATAGAGCGTTTACAATGAGGTTGTTTATATACACAAGTTGACATTCGACTTTTTGAGTGACTGGCTTGGCTTATAATAAAAGCATATTTGAATTAATTGCAAGTGGAATATTTCGTTTTTGGGAGAAAAGGCAAAAACATTATTCTTCTTGCACATGACTTTGTGTGTGTGTGTGTGTGTGTGTGTGTGTGAACGTGGATAAAGTCGGCTTGGCTCAGGCGTTAGTATGTAGTTCCTAAAGCCAAAGGGCCAGGCCGAGGGTGAATGACCATGTCTGAAATCTCATATTCTCATATTTACCATCACAATGGATGGTATTAACATTCTTGGGCCAACATTAGCACTGGCAGGCATGAGCTCTGCTGTTTTCCTAAAGCCAAAGGGCCAGGCCGAGGGTGAATGACCATGTCTGAATTGTTCTCATCTCATATTTACCATCACAATGGATGGTATTAACATTCTTGGGCCAACATTAGCACTGGCAGGCATGAGCAGCCAAACTCTGCTGTTTCACAGCACCGCTGATTAGTGCACCCAGGCATAGTTAATCCATCCTGTCAATCACCAGAGGAAGTTACCACGTGGGATTGAATGATAAACACTCAGACTCAGTTTGCCTGGTTTAAGCGCTAATAGAATCTGTCAACGTTTGCTTTCAGGTTTTGAAAGACCTGACTGAAGATTTAAAATGGTCCGTTAGTGTGTGCTTCTGACAGAGCAACGTAGTAATTTTGATTAATTACGGTTTGTGCATGAAGGTTTGTGTATATGTCAATTTATTGTAGTTTACAGTGTGTGCTTATATAGAGTTTGTTTTGTCAGATTTCCATTTAGCATCAGCTTTTGTCCAAGTTGCACGTACAATGTGGCCAAATCCAATAGGGTAATGTTATCGTCTAACCCCCTATTCAGTGGTAACTTTAGTGAAGAGCCCTTCAAACCACACATATGCCAGCTCTGGAGAGCACATTCAGTGCTTTGATTGCTTATGACAAAGGATGGGATGCTTTGTGTACAGTAGGTGTGCATATCTTTGCACAATTACCTTTCTAAGTATTTGCATACTTAATATTTTGCATGCATAATGCTTTTAAGGCTGAGAGAGGCGTCCAACTAGAAAAATCAGCTTTAGCTGTTAATTGTGTTTGTAGACCATTGGTATACCGTCTAGGGCCATAAACAAATCCAAAGTCCTACCAGTTTAAGCTGGTTTGTGGAACATGGTGACTGGCTACTAGCTTACCTGGGTTTTTCCAGCAGGAAAGTTGCATAATGTGTGTGTATATTTGTTGGAGAATGTGTCCAGCAGAGACAGAGGGAGTCGATGTCCTGTCTAAACAGTGGATGTGGACACCCTTGGTTTCCAGCCGAGATGAGGCCATAGTGGTTTATTATTCTGCTGTAAAAATACACCTATGGCCTGCATGCTTTCAAAAGCCAACTAGATTTGTGTTTTTACCAGAACTATCCATAGAAATGTTAGAAAAAACATAGTGTTTAAAACCGTTTGTATGTTCACTTTATAATTTTAATTGTAGAGTTCATAGCAAAGTAACCCGTTTATTTATTTTTTAAGAGTATTTATAACATACAACTTGGCAGGAAAATATTAATGAAGTTTGACGTTGTACTTTTTTAGTTATTGACTCCAATTTAACATTCCCACCACTAGTTTTATTCATACTTAATGTCTTTGAGCCCCTCTGGTCCTGTCTGATTGTTTAATACATTGGCCCCCAATGAAAATGGTTAAACTGCCATTATCAAAAAGAAAATTACATGTTACCTCTGGGACTGTCGAATTCCAGCACACCATGAATATCTTTTCACCAATGTACAATTTTCTCTAATTCCACTTGGCAATACAGAACACTTGTTTCATTCAGGGTCAAAGATGACATTAGTAGGGTGGGTTTTTGATTTCCATTTTGATTTCCAGTCATTTGGGATTTCCTGCCTCCCTGATGTTTTGTTAGACATCAAAGTCTGTTTTCCTTTAATGGTGAGTAGATTAGCTAATTTGGGAACACCTGAAACCTTTGGTAGATCCCTGCAGGCAGGTGTGCCTCTCGGCTTTGTGCTGGGGCCTTTACTGGTTTCGATTACAGGAAGTTGATTTGTCTCGGAGTGCCGAGTTTAGACAAGTGGCGCAAGCATGTATGTTGAATGGCATTGCAAGGGGGTGGATCGGTGCTCTTTGACATTTAATGACAGGTATTTTCAATGCAGCTGGGCCAAAGCAAACAGGATAAGCGCAGACGACTGCATCTCACACCCCACTAGCCCACGCTAGATTATTCCATTTTGTGAATCAGACCCTGTGGAACCACAGAGTACCCTTTATTTTACCTCGCTTCCTCACTTTTGCACTCTTCACTTTGGATGTGCCTGTTATGATTAAGATATTTTACATTGAAAGGACAAACTGTTATAATTATCTGAGAGATTGTCTCTGATTGCCAGAGTATCACCCAGTTCAAGACAGATGAATCTGTTCGCTGCTTGTTTATTTAATTAATGAGTGTATTTTGGCAGATGGATGTTCTGATACTGGCCTTGCTTTGGCTCTCATTTAGGAATCGTCTGATTTGGTTGTGGAAATTTTTGAGATAACGAGTTTATTCTGTTCCAATTTGGAATTGCAAGAAATTTATGAACTACTACAGTTATGAACTGATTCATTAAATTAATGAAGACTTATGTGTCTGAGTTTTGCACTTGGTACCATGCAGCGCTTTCTAAGAATGATTGGTGGTAACATCCAGTAATCTTGACTGTGATAACAGATAGTGCTGTTTATGCATACCTGACTTCATCCATTTTAAAATATGACGCAAATAATGGCCATCACAGCCTTTTCTTAATCTCAGCCCAAGTTGAAGTAGTTTGGCAGAAAAATAACTTTTTTACTTTAAGGCACTTTTAACTATTTGGGTTGGTGTCTATGGAGTGATTGCAGTGGCTAGTATTCCTTTACTTTCCATATGCATTTCATATTTTCAAACCCATGGGGGAGAGTGTGCTTGTTGGGAGCAGCTCATCATGCCGCGCTTCGTGGAGAGTTTCCTGCGGCCGGACGCGGGTGTGCTGACCCTCTCGGGCTTTTTTTGGAGGAGTCGTGGCCTAATGGTTAGAGAGTCGGACTCATATGACTTCATCCATTTTAAAATATGACGCAAATAATGGCCATCACAGCCTTTTCTTAATCTCAGCCCAAGTTGAAGTAGTTTGGCAGAAAAATAACTTTTTTACTTTAAGGCACTTTTAACTATTTGGGTTGGTGTCTATGGAGTGATTGCAGTGGCTAGTATTCCTTTACTTTCCATATGCATTTCATATTTTCAAACCCATGGGGGAGAGTGTGCTTGTTATTTTTTATTTTACTTTAATTAGGCTAAAATGCCTGATGCTGATCTGTCTGTCTATCTTTGTCCTTTTAGAGCACTAATTCCGAGTATGGGTCACCATACTTGGCCACACGTCACTTCACTCACTCACTCACTTGTTATTTTTTATTTTACTTTAATTAGGCTAAAATGCCTGATGCTGATCTGTCTGTCTATCTTTGTCCTTTTTGTGTGTTTGTTTCTGACATGCACAGACAGCTGTGTAATGATAGACCCTTTTTTTTGTTTTGTTTTTTATAAATATGGTGACATCTTACCCCACGTATCATATAAATCAGGCATTCTGATAGGTCAAGGGTCATCATTTGGGATCAGGGTTTTAGAAGAGGTGATCTGGGAAGTACCATTAGCAGTTAACAGTTGGGATCCGTACTCTAGCCGACTGCCTCTCTCATCTGTCTCTCATTTCACCTCTTCTTGTCTGTCTGGCTTCTCATCTGTCACACATACACATTTAAAATGTACCAGGATGAGACACATTCCAGCCCCCCGCTACCAGCTCCTTGTTGAGAAAGATAAAGTAGCTCTTGAGCGATTAAGCTATTTAGTTGATCAAACTGCGGGGCAGCGCTGAAAAGTTTGTTCCTGAATGTCTGAGTTCGGCCGCAGCGTGATCTGTGTGTGTGACTGAACTTAACATCAAACTGCTTGTTTCACACAAATGCTGGCACAGACGTGCATGTTCGGCTAGAGTCGCTTTGAACTCGTGCATCTTCGGAAGCAGAGCTGCACGGAAACTTAAAAAAAATGTCACGCGAAACGACGTCGCGTGCACTCAAAGCGAACTTGCTGACGCTTGAGTAGAAATCAGCCATAAATCGGCCTTGAGCGTGTGCATGTTAGATACAGTGAAGACAGCGCGTTAAGCAGTGTTTAATAAACAGCTGTTTTTCTAAATTCTGCTGAGGTGAAATTCAGTGCAGTCATGTATCGTGACTTTGCTGGTGATACACAGCCCTACCCCCTTAACTAGATTACATCTTTTAAGTTTTGGTCAGATTGGTGATTGAAAGCTAAGCTCTTTGTAGTACTGATGTTGTGAGAGTCCAGCTAAATGGTTTGGTTAAGTTTGGAAATCAGTCGCAGATTCTCTTTGGTACTCTGTCTGATCTCTGTGTCTGTCTGTCTGTCTGTCTGTGTGTGTGTGTGTGTGTGTGTGTGTGCCTGTGCCTGTGTCTGTGTCTGTGTGTGTCTGTTTTCCAGGCGGACATGATGTTCAGTTCAGGAGTCTTCTGGATGGGTCTGATCTTCATTCCTATCACCTCTCTGGTGTTTGATGTGGCCTACAAAGTGTAAGTTGAGATTTTTCAGTACCAGCCATTAAACCTTGAACTTGTCTTTCTCTGTGGTCACCAGAGGTTTGTGTCGTGTATACCATTTGTTTAAAAAGAGTATAAAAAATAGTTTAAAAATATTGACATATAATTTAAATTGCTTGCTACACTCAAAAAATCTATTTTTGGCTGGACATGATTAAATCATGGAGAGTGGCTCCACACAATTTAAACAAATTATTTGGATACAAACGAATCAAGTTATTTGGACATGTCTAATTTTAGTTGTTTACTCAGTTCACTTTAGTTCATCGTAAGTATTAAATAACATGTTTCCATCATGTGGAACCACTGTCCATGATTAAATGAAGTTCAGTCAAAGTGTTACAATAACATAGCAAGTTAAATCGAACTTTTCTTTACACATATGATGTTAGATTTTGGCAGTTTGGAGATGGTACTGATTACATCCAGTTCTCCCATTATAGTTGCTTTTTTAATTAAATCAGCATAAATTATTTTTAGCATGTCATTATTACCAAAGCACACGCTTGATACCAAAGTGACAGAAACTTAAATAGCAACATAGAACATTAAACATTAACAAATCTCCTTATATTCTCATCTTGCTAAAAGAAAGATCATAAAATATGCATAAAATATCATTTTATTTAAAGAAATTAAAGCTGTAACAGCTTTTGTATTTATTTGTCACGTTTTATTAAATAAACATTTGTTTATTTGTTTATTATAATATTTTTTAGTTTTTGTTTTTTTACTTTTAGGGCACAGACTTCAGAATAAATGAAAATATTTTTTATAATTATTTTTTAATGAAAACTAATAATAAAACAATAATAATTATTACTTAATTATAAATTATAATAATCATAATAAAGAACAAATATATTAATTACTTTGTATTAAATATTTAATTTTGTTTTGGAAAAATACATATTTATTATTATTATTTTAAATATAATTTGTAACAGTCTTTTTGTTTACTTTTGTGTAACAAACACTTATTACTGTAAGCTGTAACTTCTAAAAATCCAGCTTTTGTATGTATTTATCACATTTTATTAAACAAACATTTGTGGCACGTATTGGCAGTGATTGTGATAGTCTGACATTACATGCATTCTTATATGCATTTTTTCCACCTTGAGGGCTTTTTTTCATAGTTTTGACTTTTTTGTTTTTTACCCCCTGTGTTTCAGTATGAAAAGGGTGTGCTTTAAGACCCTGGTTGATGAGGTACAGGAGTTGGAGGCACTGTCGAAAGATCCAGGAGCTGTGGTGCATGGAAAGAGGTGAGGGCCGTTCCTCGTGAATTCATAATAAAACAGAACAAGCAAAAACAGCGGATCAGCAGGATTCACCTCCAAGTGTAAATGATCCTACTGGCTGCTCTCCCGGCTCCGGTCTCATTCTGTCTCCTCAACCTCTCACTGGAGACACATCTGTCCAGCAGGAAGTTTGTCTTTAATTTGATCGCTCTTCTGCGGGAAGAGAAAAGAGACGTCCATTTTTGTCTGTGTCTCAGTACTGTTCCTCTTTGTGTCCTTCCCTGTAGTTTGACCGAGAGAGCCCAGCTCCTGAAGAACGTCTTTAAGAAGAGCACCGTCAGTCTGTACCGGTCCGACTCCATGCAGCAGAATCTACTCCGTACGTCAGCGACACACGAGCTTCGCCACTCACAGGCACACAGACGCAGACACACCTACATGTTCTCCACAGTGCAGACATCACAGACAGACTCATGCAGAATCACTGATGCACACACACCCTACCATCCCCATCTGTAGCATCAAAATGCAGGTTCACTCTCACACGCAAGGGCTTATGGATGTGCAAATGCAGACACTCACAGATGTACAAATCTGAACAAAAACCCATGAAAATTAGGTGAGGATGGTTGTTCTTGACAGCTGCAGATAGTAACTAATGTAGTCATAATATCACTCGAAAGCAACAGCTGCATTAACAAAGCTCAAGTTAGACTGAGATGGCACCGGTCATAGGGTTCTTTTTCAGGCAGCTGTTTTTTGGGCACGGGAACTCAAATCTCATGTTTTATCAGGGAATAACTTGGCCTTCCGCGTTAAATCTGGAGAATTTTGTTGAGGATATTGCAGTCCAAAATTGACTTGTTAAAGCTCATTCATGAGGTCGTAATATGTACAGTCACAGAGTTCACACACACGCACACACAGTCTTAGCAAATTACTAACATTTCCTTCCTGGATATGCTGTTATACTACACTTCCAGTTTTCATGTGCTTCCTTTCAGTGGTTTTCAACTGGTGAGCTACAAGTCTGATTGAGGTTGCTGAAAACAAATGCAAAATGCAGCTAAGTAAGGATAGAAAAATCTATTTTATATATATTATTAATATAAAATATTTATAAAAAAATTATTATAAAATTATACAATTTCATAAAAACATTATAAACTATTTAAAATTCCCATTCATTTAAAAAAAATTTACATAATTTATTAAATGTATTTTATTAAATAATCACAGAATTTTTGTTTAGAAATTTATTTTTTATTTATAATATATATTTTTTAACAATTTTTCTTTTGTCGTCATTTTTCTTTTATACGTTTGTAAAAACTGTAAAATCTGGCTCTTGAAGCATAACCAGTTGAGAACCATTGTCTTTTCATTTTTCCTTATAGTTTAACGTTTACATTTCTTTTTATTTTCTGTTCGTTACCTCTCTTTATTTGCTTTTAGGTGAGGATGGGGGACGTTCAGTGATAGTCTGATGTTATATGCATTCTTACCCCTTAGCTCATACCACTAAATATTAATGCAGTTGCCTTACAAACACGATACATATTAACAGCATAATTAAACCTGCATTGTTTATCACGTCCTTCCCATTCCCCACCTGTGCATGTGCTGCTGTGCTGCTGTGTTTTGATTGACAGGCAGAGTCATATTTAATCATTTCAATGTCCCGCTGTCGTTCCCACCATGCATTGCCCTCCTCGGTCTCTTGCATGTGCCCCCTCAGGCCAGCAGGTAGAGGTCGAGTCGGTTGAGACATAAGGTGAGTCATAGATCAAAGGGCCAATCCCAGTGTGCAGTGCTGTAGAGACCATAGCGCCAGTATGAGCGAGATCTTTAATATTAAAATAACTAGGATTTGAATAGACTTAGAGTCCAAATCAAAGGAGAAGACCTTTTTTTCTAGTAGACTTCAATAGCTATATTTGATGTAATGAGCCACATTTCTTTTTTTTTTCTTTTTTTTTTTAGAAAGAGTAGTTGATTTTTCCAGGTAGAATCAATAATCTGACATTACAACACTCACAGTGTCTTATTTCCTGCCAGCTTCCATTTAGAGTCTGCCAAGATAATTACTATTGACTACCCCGATTGTCCCAGCCAGCCCACCCACACTGCCATGGCCGGTTTCTCAAGGTCCCCTCTGAGACCGATTTGAATTTTTTTGTTTATTTCTGGAAGCAGGCAGTCAGGATGTTGTGCATACTGATGTCTTTTTGCTGCGTCTTTCTGCAGACAAAACAAAAGACCTCTTTTTAATTTGGACTACTACAAATATTTTCAGACATTTTGGTCCCATTAGTGTATGTAGGTCATTGTAAGGGCTTATTAAACCCCCAATTAGACTCCCAACAACAGAATAATCCAGACAGTCTTTGAATCCTCTTTTGAGTTTACGGACAATATTCCCACATTTTTTTCTTGCTGAGCAAATATATATTTATTTATGACCATAAATATTTATTTATAATAAAATATAATTGTCTATTTTTATTATTATTATACTGTATTATTATTATACTGTATTATTAATGGTATATATAACATTTACGTAATGCATGCATAATGTAATTTTACATAATATTGTTTAGAAATGTAAAGGATTTACATAATTTTTATTTATTTGTCTTGTGCATTTTTTCTCAAAAATATGAGAATGGTACTTTTGGTACTGTTAGTAATATTTGCAAACATTATTTTCCTTCAGGTTTAAATCATCTTTATTTATTTTTCAAAGTGTACACCCTGGTGATGATTTAAGAAAAGGCTAAATTAGCATTTTTTCCCCATCTCATTGCATGTTCATGTTTTTATCTGATTTAACTTGTATCACTTGTCTTGTAAGTTTGCCAGCAGTATGTTTTTGAGTTGAGTGTATTTATCTGATGCGTGTTTTCTGGGTCCTGTTTACAGACGGCTACGCATTCTCTCAGGATGAGAACGGAGTGCTCTCCCAGTCTGAGGTCATCAGAGCCTATGACACCACCAAGCAACGGACCAGTGAGTGGTGAGATCCGGCTCGCTGGGCTCCACCCAATCTCAGCGGTCACTCAACTTTTTAAAGGCTGACAGAGAGCTGAAGCCTGTCAGTTTAACTTTGGCCAGCCTAGGGCACCCGGGGCAACAATGGATACGAAAAATGAAGCAGTACGAGAGAGGGGAAAAAAAATCAAGTTCTGCTGTGTTATAGTTGTATGTTCAACAGCAGACACGAGCACTGTGCTAGTATATTTTTGCCCAGCCTGCGGTCAGCATGGTTTCTGGTCTGTCAAACAGAGGAGAACAGCAAAAAGAATTGGCTCCCCTCTTTCCTCCGCCATTCCTTCGGCTATGAGTGTTACAGCCAAAAATGTGCTGTTGATGAGGGTGGTGATAAAGGTGTTGAGACACATTTGTGGTAATGGTCTTTGACTGTGACTTCCTAATCATTAATGGCACATGAAACACTCCCTTTTGTTTTTATATCACATATGTATTTTATTTGCGTCAGAAAACAGGACGCATGCCAGATAACCAGAAATTAAGTTCCCAAGAATATTAGAAATGCAGTCCCTATTTTAAAAACAATATTTAGAAATTATAATTAAGTGTTTTTACACGCCTCAGATGCTTTCTGCATCTATTTGACAACTTTACCCTTGATTTTTATTTTATTATTGTTCATGTTAAATTCTAAGCTATCAAAGCCTTATATTTGTTGTTGCCTTCAGCCATTACTTGGTATGTTTTTAGTTTTGTTTTGTATTTAGTTTGTTGTATTTTAACTTTTGTTTAGTTTTCGTTTTGTACTTAGTTTTAAGTTTTGTTTTGTTTTTTGATTTTGTTTTGATCAGTCAGTTTGTCGTGCCTGGTTCTTCAGATCTTAGCTTGCCTGTATCTACCTTTTTTTTTTTTTACAATTTGGCAACATTTCAACAGCTTTTTTGAACACGTTTCTGCATTCCACGTCTTACACGGCTGCAATGATCACAAAGGTGCCTAACAGGAATTTTTTCCCCAGTGAGATAGTATTTCAGAGTCTCTAGCTAGGCAGCATTACCGCACGCTTACACATTAGACCAAAATAATGATGTATCAGGCTGCTACACAGGCAAAATGAGAGCTTTTTAAGCCACACATTGAACCTCTGCCCCATTTATGCGTTCGGCTCATCGTAAGGGGCTCGTGCGAAACTCTTTTAGACGATCAGATGTTCACTATGATGTTTATTTGACTTGGAACAGAGTGTTAATCCCTCAAACATAAGTGCCATTAGCATAGGGGAGGAACAGAGGATTTTGCCAGACCCACACAGTATCGATACAACTTTGTCTCTATAGTTATTTAGTGAATTTGTATTTTTATATTGGTCTAAGTGTGACTTTTTGGACTGATCTGCTTTGTAATGAAAATGTCGTCCCTCTTTTTTGTGGTTCCCCTCCAGAAGCTTAAGTGACTACAACTTATCTTATTAACGCTTCTTTATTTGATGGTGGAGTTTGTGCGTTGGTTTTCTTCTCCCTGTGGGAGAGCACGTTTTGTATAGTGCATCTGCGCAGTGTGTCTCGTCTGCATGTACATGTGAGCTACATTTCAAATGCGTGCGTGAGTGTTCGTGATCCCGTCGGTATGCATGTCTGTTTAACTATATTAAAGCAACCTGAGAGACTCGAATGAGGATGCGTGTGTGACGTCCTCTGTGTTGTCCAGTTGTGTGCCGCTGCTTGTTTCGTTCGTCTGCACGACTCCAGGTATACTAATGGTGAGCTATATGCCGATGCATGTCCCTGTACGTCAGCAGGTGTGTGCAGGTGTAAGTGTGTGTGTCACATGTGTCTGTATGTCTCGGTTTGTATGAAGCTCTGCTAAAGCTTGACCAGAGATGTTGCACAATGCACTCTTTTAACTTTTATGTGATGAATATTCTCTTATCTAGTTCATATCAGTTGCAGTATTATTTATAAGGATGGATATGTACCGTACATGTTCTTCTTTTTAGTTTCGGATCTCACTGTAACTCTTCTTCTTCCAGCTGAAACGTGTTTTATTTAACGTGGAAAGAATACATTTGTAGCTACTGTGCATTTCGTTCCTTAAGCTGTGCTTTTGACCGATCGTTGGCGTTGTGGGCCGTCATTCGACTTGAACACTGGAAATATGAAGGGATGATGGTTAAAGGCTTGGACTGTTGCTTTCTAAAACCCCATCTGTCAAAGTGACTGATTGCATGAATGGAAAAGTGGTTCTTGGTTTAGCCTAAATGTTAATTGTACGGTGAATCTCCCTCTAGTGTTGGTCACTTTAAAGAATGAAAATGCACTTTTAAATGGTTTCAAATTCTCTATTGGGTGTTTTATTTTTTTTCTTTCGGATCTTTTTGTTAAATGATTGTTTAGCATGTTGGAACTGCAAACTTTTAAGTGTTTTGTCTTAACTGCCATGAAAGACTACTGAAATAAACTTTCCAACTGAAGCTCTTCTTTGGTGATTTCTCTCATTTTTTGTTGCATTCTGTTAATTATATCCTCCTGGTGAAGCCTCAAGGTTGTCCAAGATATACACTAGTAGTGTTAGAACAGTATTGTAGCAGGCATCAGGAGAATCACTGATCGTTTGTATTGTGTGGAGACTCTCCATTGGGGTTTCAGTGAACACAGAATCATGATTTGGCAATAATCGGTTTTGTTTCCATACCATAAATTTCCAAGAGCTTATTTCCTGTCTAGACTAATGCATTTCTAGCTTTTTCTTTACACAAGCATTAAATTATACTTTAGCAAAAACTTCCCTGCATGTATAAATCTCTGTTTCTGGCCGCTAAAATGTTTATGACTTAAAAAGACAGTTAACACTTAATGCATTGGATTTCATGTCTTCTTTTAAAACGGCTTTTAGTGTTTCACCGCCTGCACAGCACTTGCTCATATGCACTTCAGAATATGTGTACTGCTAATCCTCTTTAAAGAGCAGTTAGGGTGTTAAAATGATGTCTTGTTTACAGCCACCAAAATCTGTTTATACAGTTTCATCATGAGCAAACTCTGGCTCAGCACCCAGTGTATTCAACAAACTTTTGAAAACTTTTTTTTTACCGCTTGGTTTCTGTGGAGATTGTGAAATCTTCCGTGTCCACTGTGAAATATTTCATGCAAAACAGTCTGCCGTAAACATCATTCTTATGAAACAATTTGTTGTCTTAATATTTTTGTGAAAACCATGATACATTTTTCAGGATTCTTTAAATAATAGAAAGTTTAAAAAAAACTGCATTTATTAAAAAAAAAAAAAGTAACATTATTAATGTCTTGACTGATCACTTGAGCAAATTAAAGCATCCTTACTGAATAAAAGTGTTAATTTCTTTCAGAAAATGTTTTTACCACAAACAGAACAGTAGTGTATGTATATTAAGCATCAAGTATTTTCTGTGATTGTTGCATTGTATAGTATTTTGCTTTCATTGTGGAAAGACAAATGATGTTGAAGCTGGTCATCATGTGTGGCATTAAACAGGATGCGATATCAATCTAAACAGGAAAAAGTGGAGATACGTCAAATAGATGACATCCCCTGTAGTTTAGATGTATCATTCTGACTGTTCTGTTGGTCAGTGACATTAATAGAGTTGTTATCTGTTCCATATTTTAATAACAGCCATTTATTTATGTTGGCCACACTTGATGTAAATGTATCCACGGCTGTGTCCCTAGAAAGAATTAGTCCATAGGTTAAAACAAGCTTTCCATTCTTGGGTAACAGGATAACTGGAATGTCACATATTCTCAGTCAGCCTGTTCTAAAATGGAACCTGATGTCATACAGTTTCTTCAATGTTCTTTCATTCTTATTATATCTGATGCATTACTGTCTTTCAAGAGTGATGAGACGGTTTCATTTAGCTCAAAAACACTGTTGGTTAGAGACTTATAATAATAATTATAGTAATACTTATTTGACGGCCGTCTCGTCACATGATGTGCTTCCAGCTGCTCTGTACATTTAGATACACCTGATCATTTACAAAACGTCTCATATCAAATACAACAAACTGTGTTGCCAATGTAATCTGAAACTAAGCCAATAATGGCTTTCAGATTGCTACAAATTATACAAAATTGAAGAATGAATGCTCTCCAAACGTTTTTTTCCCAAAGGTAGCTGTACATTCGTATGATGTTAACCTGTTCCTTATGTGACATAGTCTATGAGCAAGAATAATGCCTGTTTTAAACATTAACAATTTTTGTCTCAATCTGTCAACTAAACCTTCAATCTCTGACCCATTGGAAAAATAAGATCATTTCTATAAAACCCTCATTCATACATGGCACCATTTGAGTGCAGGACCCCTAAAATGGGATTGAGATTGTCATGTAATATTCTGTCCATCTATACATCAAATTATCTCAAATACAGAGGCTAAATGTTCAGTGGAGTGTCACTGACCAGCTGGAATTTTAAAAAAAAAATTGACGTCTTTCATCAAATAAGCAGACTGAAAGTGCATATGAGATACGATCAGTTGTAGATTTAGGCTTGCATGTTGTATACATCACTTGAGTGTCTGTCAGATTGATAGTTCACAATCTCACCAGCTTTAGCGGCCCACGTGGCTCTTAAATTCCAGCAGCCGTCTCACAAGTGCCAATCGAGCTTGCTGAAAGACACACTAGTGCGGGAGCCCCTGTAATACGAGTCTACAACAACGACACATTCTTTGGTGACCGTTTCTTTTTGAGCAGGGAACCCCAGGTCAGCTCTGGCTGAAGTCGGCAAAGCCCTTGTTTGTGGAGAACGGTTCCTGCGGCAGGGGAAAGAAGTACTGTTGTGGCAGGAGGAAGCCGGAGCTTTGCCGGGTCTGGTGGTGCAGCTGTATCTGGAGAGAGTTACTGCCCTGCTGGGAGGTGTAGGGCGGTGGAGGCAATAGTGGCTGCGCCGGAGCCACGGACACAGGAGAGGAGGCCGTGGAAGATGAAACCATCAGGAGCTGCTGCTGCTGCGAACACTGTCCCAGCCCGTCACCCCGGCCCAGGGAGAAGCGCCGGACGGAGCTGCCTCCTCCCGCCGAGCTGGAGCTGGTGGTGGCCGAGCTGGACTGGCGTGACGGCGTGCGCAGGCTGGGAGGGGCTGTGGTGAGGATCATGGGAATGGTTTCGCCCTGACTGCGCAGTGAGAAGCGGATGGGCTGCTGTGTGGGCTGCTTGGGTCGCAGGCAAGTGCAGCAGTACACGGCCACCAGAGAACCCACCACTACAAACGCCACGAAGATGGAGCCCACCATCAGGAAGGGCACGTAGATGGGCTCTGTGAAAGAGAGAAACAGCACGGGAGGTTAGAGAAACTAATCTTCCTCAGTTTACTTTTCTTTTCTTTTTTTATTATAAATAAAAGGACCAAAAGCTGTGCCATAGAAGAACAAATGTTGGTCCTCCAAAGAATCTTTAAGTGAACAGTTCTTAAAATAATCTTCTTCTTTTTTTTTTTATGTGAAGAGCATTGTAATAATCTAAAGAACCTTTATTCACTGAAGAACCTTTTGTGTAATGGCAAGGTTTCCATGGATGTTTAACATCAACTATCTTCCATGGTTCTTCCTGGAAACATAGACGCCAATAAAGAACATTTATTTTTAAGAGTGTACAAGTAGGTTTAAAATATTTCATGACAATAATTGTTCTTAATATTTAGATCATCTTATTACAGTCTTGTAAATTATTATTTTAGTTTTTTTATTTACTGATAATGTGTGAGAGTTGTTATTTCAGTCATTGTTAATTAAAGGCTTATTTAATAGGGAATAGTTATTTCAAAAGCACAAAGAACATCACTATAATTACTATACATTTGAACTTTTGAACTGCTTACTTTACATTGTAATGAATTCAAAATAATATCTTTTCAATATTTAAATTGACAAGAGCTTTGTTTTACATGTTCAGAACACACATTGCCACTGTTTGCTTGAGGCTATGGTTGAAAAACACACTCAAATGTGTTTGGAATCCTGTGTAAACTGAATGCTTAATTATATTAAGACAAAGAAACTGTTTTGATGATTAGTAACCAACATAAACAAATGATTTCACATTAAACAAAACTACTTAACTCCTATATACTTATATATAGCTGAGATCTAGGTGGAATGAGGAAAAATGAGAATTAGGTCAAACAGATTATCAAACCCATTAATGAATCCTGTATAAAAATATTCTGATTTAAGAATATTTAGTCTGTGCTTGAAGGTAATTAGACTTACAGTGGTGACCTACTGTACATTTCCTTTTTGGCATCATCAGGATTTCTTCATAAAACATCACCTGTTATTAAACTATATGATTGTGAACATACAGGCTACTCTTTTAAGATTACATGACACTGTTGAGATTTACTTTATTATGATTAAATGAAATGAGACTGACTACACTTAACTTCTGATGATAGAAACAAGAAAATCTGACAACTTGTAGAAATGACAAATTGCTGTAACAAGTTCTACTGATGAGAACAGTGACTGTGCAGGTGTGTCGGGTTAACCTCTGCTCTGCTCTGTCAGACATTACAACAGGTGCTGGCGAACTGAAATCCCTTTATTGCTGTTTGTATTTTATCGGAGTAAAACTTTGTGTAATACATTTCATGACTAAGACCTGAAATATCACATAATCATGTTATGACATTCTGTAATATGATCATTTTGCTGGCAACAAGTAAACTATCACAAGTTATTCAGCCAGATGTCATTATGGTTTAATTTGTTATCCCTGTTCTAAACTAGTCATGTAGTTTATTCAGCCTATTCAGTGTTATATCTAGGCCTACTCGCTTTTACAAACGCTTTAAAATAATTCACAGTAAGAGGATAAAACTACTTTTTTCAGGTAACATTTTTTTCTAGAACATGAACTTTATAGTAGGCTATATTGGTTCAGTCAATTCTCTGAATCATACACATGTAATGAATCTTTTTTTTTTAATAAAAAGTTTGTTACTTTTACATCTTTTTATATATCTGAATGTTTTTACATAACGCAAATGCTTCTTTCGTCTAAGATATTTTTATTAATGAGTTCATCTGTGTCTTACGGGCAGCATATTGCGTGTTGTTGTCCACCTCTCTGTCGTTTGTGCAGGACCCCTGGTCGAGACGCGCGTCGGGGGCCGCGCAGCAGTAGCGCAGCGAGCAGCTCCCGCAGCACACCGTCGCGTCCGCCGTGTCAAAGTCCTCCGGACACTGAAAGCCCTCGTGGTAATTTCCACTGCCGTCTAGCCAGCCGTGACAGTACTCTCCTCGGGCATCAGATATCCGCAGATTCCATGTCAAATACCCCAAGACCAGGCAATTCAGCAGGCGCACCATACCGGCGAGATGCGCTTTAATTCAGTTCCTCTCGAACACAGCGTTTTTGGGTTAAGCGAGCGGTAAACGAACTTGAATTGATTTATGAAAATACTCCATCAGCTCATGAGATTTGAATGTCACTGGAGTTAAATCCTGGGATTGTTGTTCAAATCCAAAATTAAGAGACATCCAGCGCCGGTCTTGGATTGTTTTAAAATATCACTTCCAGAAATTCCATGATTTTATGCGCATTTCATCCACTCCCACTGTTTACTGTCATTTTAGTCTCGTTGTAAACTACTCATCGAATGCTTTTGATATCCATGTGGATGTAAAATAATAAACTGTCGCCTATACGTTTTTATCAAAGACCTGCAGTTCTCCCCCAAGAAGTCGTGACCGCACAGAGACGCGCGCGTCTGCACTGAAGCCACTTCTCAAACGTGTGCTCAGCTCAGCTCAGCTCCAGAGAGTTTGTTTTAGACTCGCACCCGCTCCGTTTCAATGACGCGCACGCAGTTGGCTGGCCTGACGTGCGCATTCATGTAGCTGGTGTCTGCGTCCTGTTGCAGCAGAAGTTCATCTGGACCTGCTTGTATTCTGTGTCCAACGTCTTTAATAGAAAGATCTGTTTCTTTCTTTTTATTTATTGCTATTTTTAGCAGTTTCCTTTTGGTTTACTTAAAACCAAACTTTTTTGACAGCATGGAGTCTTTAAAATGTAAGTGGTTCATTTCATTTCATTTGGTCGGTTAATTCATTTGTATTTATATTCGCAGAATTAGGCTATCCTTGGCGTATTCTTTCAGTCGTTTGGAAAGAAGTGAGGAGGCTTTGCCTTAAAATTTGTGTCATGTTGTCGCCCTCTTCTGGCTATCATTGCTTTATGTAAAGCTGGTATAACCCTGGCGTGAAGGCTGCTTACTGTTACAGGCTCATTTGTGCAGAGGCGGACAAAGTACTCAACTCCATTACTTGAGTGAAAGTACAGATACTGCAGGTCAAATATTACTCCAGTACAAGTAAAAGTTGTAAAGACAGATTTTTACTTAAGTAAAAGTACAGAAGTACTTGCTTTTAAAAGTACTTAAGTACCAAAAGTAAATTTCCTTTTTGGTGTCAATGCACTGTTTTATTGTTGTACGTAATACTTGCAATACTTCTGAAGCAACTTAGAATACATTACACCTACTAGCTTGTAGTATCTTTGGAATAAAGAGCTTTTAGAATGTTAAAAACCTATGGGGGAAAAAATTAACACCCCTACCCACCCCCACAAAAGCAGGATGGTAGTGATCTCACACAGCTCTGACAGTGTGTGCCCACATCTATGTGTTGCCATTCATCCACATTTGAACAGAGTGGACAGTGAAATACTGTAAATACAGAGTGATAAGGAAGAAACAAAATCAAACCTGCTTTAAAACCCAGCGACACAACTGTAGCTGTACAACTTTACAACAGCAACACTGCTTTAACAAAAAAGCAAAACAGCAAGACTTATTTGACATCAAAACAAACATTTTAAAAATGCTGTCTAATCCCTCTCACTGTACTTTGATTTCATACACAAAAAGGTCTGTGCAGTGCTGCTTCAAGTCCAACACCTTTTGTGTTTTATTAGGAGATGCACAACAGTTCTTCTGTGGCTTTATAGGTAATATTTTCACTTACACAATTTAGCAAAATCAGACAATATTGTGTCTAATATATACCACAATATTAACTTCTTATTATTGAATTGTTGTAAATAAATATCACATTTGCAACTCAGTGTTAAAAAAATGCTGAGAAATCACTTCATGTTGCCCTACAAGAGTGATTACTGATAAACTGTCTGAAAAAAAAGAGAGTCACGTTTTAGAGAAGAAAAAAATCACCCACTGACTTTCAAAGCTGCTACATAGTAACGACTTTCTACTTCGAGGATCTTGATAGAAATGTAGTGGAGTGAAAAGTACAATATTTGTCTTTCAAATGTAGTGAAGTTAAAGTCATAAGTTCCCAGAAAAAATAATACTCAAGTAAAGTACAGATACTCAAAAAGTGTACTTAAGTACAATACTCAAGTAAATGTACTTAGTTACTGTCCGGTTCTGCATTTGTATTACTAATGAATACATCTGAAAAGAGTCAGCATTTTTGAAAATAAATAGCCAGTGTTTTTCCACAGCAAATGCTTTTTTTTCTCCTCTGTGGGCTCAAATGGTCATTATCATTTTTAAAAATAGTTTTGCAGGTGTGAAAGGTCTATGTATGTGACACCATCACATAGTTAGGTTTAAAGACCGTCTTTTGAAAGTATATTTATTATTTCCCCTTTTCAACACTGCTGTGATTCACCGGATGTTATGCTAATATTCAGCACCAAAGCTATATATATAAAAAAGTGAAAGTATTTAATATAGTGACTTATGTTTAAAACAAAAAGAGCAATTTTTGTATATATGAGCAATATCACAGAAGTAGGGGTGCGAAAATAGCTACAAAATACCCATTTTGGCAAGTATCCTCAAAAATAGTCGGTTATATATCTCAAGTGAACATGTACAGTTGAGAAAGAAATTAAATGTACTATATATTTATATTGGACTTGTGCATTATCTTAAAGTGACCTCAGCCTAATTTACCGCCTGCTGTATGTCTTTATTGTTAACAAACAAACAAAAAGACAAATGAAACCTGGCCGAGGTAAGGTTGTTCTCGGCAGGTTCGTGAGCACCGAACGCCCGCTGACGCCCTAGAGCTCACATCTCTGAAAACCTTAAAGCAAATTATATGAAATAGGTGCTGTCTTTATAAATAAACCACATATTTGAAGCTTAAACAACTACGTCCTCACCTTAAAACTACATTGCCATTGACACTTGCTGTAAGAAGCTGACTAAGAAGCTCCCAGCTGAGTAGCCTCTAGGCTAAACGGTGAAACTGTTCACGTACTGATACTGGTACAATTTCGCACGACTGGAAAGACTCTCCGTCAATCAGATCTGAGGACCAGAAGTAACTGTTTGTTTTTCTGTCAATATGGGGTGCTGTGTGTACATTAATGAGGAAAAAAATTAACTTAAATGATTTTAGCAAATGGCTGCAATATAACAAAGAGTGAAAAATTTAAGGGGGTCTGAATACTTTCCGTACCCACTGTACATGTCGTTCCAAAACTGTTTGACTTTGTTTCTTTTGTGACGTCACCGTTATGTCCCTTAGCTGCGCGCCCATAGTGGTTATAAATGGGTAAAATCCATGGAATAAAAGAAAAATTGTGCCTTTTGATGTCAAGATCGGAATGCAAATAATTTTATAGAATACTGTTGTCAAAGATGCCTTTTGAAGCTAAACGCAGACGTTTAAATGGACATACTATGGATGAAAACTGTTATGATTACTCTACTTTTAAAGCATAAATTCGATTTAAACAATAGGTCTACGTAATGTTCACATATGCTGTTCATAGGGGACGTATTGTATTAGCCCTACAGTTACAGCATGAAATATTATTTAAACCTTACTATTAGAAATATTATTTAAACCTTACTATTAACATTTTTACATAACATTTATTTACTTTATCTCACAATTCTGACTTTTTTTCTCACAAATGCAAGTTTATATCTCCTAATTCGGACGTTGTAACTCGATTTAACTCAAAAATAGTGAGTTTGTCCAATCTGAGGGGAAAAGAGAGAACGACGAGTTGTTTTTCCTTATTAGAATTGTGAGATATAATCTCGGAATTGCGAGAATAAAGTCAGAATTTTGAAATATAAAATCAAATTTACCTTTTTTTATTATTTTATTCAATGGCTCCATAGACTGCCGCTTGAAAACCGTAATTTTCTGCCTCCAGATAGGCTCCGCCCACAAAAAATGTCATCCCTGTTTCGGATCTGTAAGACTATCCCACTCTCTAACGTCAATTTCGTTGAATAACAGTGCTTATCGCTGGGTGACAAGCTCTTGTAATATGCGGAGAACATTTTGAAAATGACATCTAATCAATATAATTTATAATCTTTTTAAACCTAACTATTTTGTACCGTATCCGTGAAATTCTCTAGCCGTAAAGACTATCTCTCCCGGGTTCTCTGCAACCATGATGCGCGCGCATCCTGAATGTTTACAAACCGATAATTGGTCTATAGGCTATTCTGAGAAATGTCTCTTTGTTTGTTTTTGTCTATAGTTTTTTTGCTTACCTATATTCTTTGAAATATACAGGTTTGGGACGACGGTGAGTAAATGATTTTTAGAATTTTAATTTTGGGTGAAATATACCTTTAAGTATCTAGCCTATATTTGCATGTCTCCTAAAAACACCTAATAACAACAAACAAACAAATAAATAACCCCCATCACTGACAACATGGCTATGCGAGAAAACATGGAGGCATCGCACACACCTCTTTATATCATCTTGCACCTCTCTCATCTTGCACCTCTCTCATCTTGCACCTCTCTCATCTGACACTCCCACTGATGGGAGCACGAGCCACATATACACACCGAGCGGCGGAGGCGCGTGCGGACGCCGCCGGTATTCCCCTGTTGGTAGAATAAAAGCCAGCGAGTGCTGTTACCGCCAGGGGATTGGAGCAATGACTTGTCAGTAAAGTCACCCACCCTCTGAGTATCTCAGACAGAGTTAGAAGTGTTTGAGACACAGAGCAAGCCGGCGAGACACTGGTATAACTGATTTAACCAGACCGGGACAGAACGACACTCACGTGCGAGGGAGATGGAGGAGGAGATGCTACCGGCAGACGAAGGTCTCTCTGCGCCCAAAATCTGCAGGCAGCAGCAGCAGCGGAGTCCGTACAGCTCTCTCAAGACCTTCCCGAGCAAACGCGCGGCGGGCAAAGCGAGATACGACAGACCCACAATGGTGGACATCCCGCAGCTCGGAGACCATCCTCAAGCTCTCAGTCATCAGCAGCAGCAGTATTCACAGCGCGTACCGCTTCCGCAAGCGTCCCTCTCCATCAGCAGCAGTCAGCAGCACCGTTTCCCCTGCGAAATCAGGCCCAGCAGCAGAGTCGCGACACCCAGCGCGGCATCAGCGGGGAGCGCCGCAGCGGCATCTTTTGGCAGCCAGAGGAGGGTCGCCCATCAGGAGACACCCGGCAGATACCCGGCGGGTCGCCACCAGTCTCCAGACTGCACCTATGGAATAAGCTCAGGTAAGTGAACGAGTTTGCCTCAGAAACTTTTATCCATCACGAAGCTGAGGACTTGAAGTGTCTAACTTTGGGGTGGGTTTTCTTACGAACATTGCAATTATTTTTAGACTCGAATACAACCGTAATTTGGGACCCACGCCCAAATGATGCGACTCATTCAAGTATTGTCGACATGTTTAATTTCACATCAGTTTTTACCTGAAAATAATGACGCCGAGAAAAAATAAACATCAGTGGCTTGGTAAATTAAAAACACCCCTGCAATAAAATGTTTTGTATCTGTTATATTAGGATGACATTGTAAGTCTGTTGGTATATTTACCAATATCTTCTTTTACATCTTTATATTAGGCTACTAACACAGTGGCCGACATACATGCTTCGGTCATTTCTAAAATGCTCTCAAATCCCTCATATTGCTTAAAAGAGAAATATATAACGAGTATCAGTATCAAGGTAGTGTTGAGTTTTACAATGAAATGTAAACACTGGTCCATGATCATAGAGAGTGTCTGACATAAAAAATGAAAGTCTCATCAAGTACTGTCAGATTTCTTTACACTCTGCGTTAAGATGCTCCCAGCATGAATTTGTGGAAAGCATCATGTTTTTCTCACCAGCTCTCTCTCTCTCTCTCTGATTTACGTAAACTTGTCAACTTCAGTAATTGTTTTTCATGTGCTTGTTGCAAGAGTTCGTTTTCATTCAGCAGAGCCTCAGGCCTTCACAAATTGAGCAGTTGTGTCATTATCATACAACAGGGTGCCTCAGTGTCTGTGCAAACATTCAGCTGATCTATTTTTCTCCACAAGTTATTGGATTGGATATCTTGCCACCTTTTTGTTTTTTTGATGTAGTGTTTAACATGCAGAGTCCATTTCGAAATTCACCTGGGCATCATTAAAAGGGCTTCAGGCTGTTCACTAAATATTAATTGCACTTGTTGGAGACACAGTAGATGTTTCCAATGAAGATCAGAGTTCACAGCGCCTGCTTGTAAACAGTGCATTCTAATTTCATACCGAGCCCTTTTGGTTCATCGTTATGGAATATCCACTGCAAAAGAATGCATGGGGGATTTTTAGGCCAATCAGACAATGCTAATGGTTTCATCTTTCTAGCCCTGGGGGAAGGAGCCGTAGACACCCAAGGACACAGCTCTGAGATCAGTGCAATAATCCAAATTGCATTTAAAAGCTCCTCGAAAAGGATTGTGATTAAAACAAATGTGGCTCATAAATTTGGCTCTGCGGCACATGTTGTGTTTAATGAAATTTCATGAGGCTCACTCTGCGTGGCATAACAGAGGGAGAAAAAGAGGGAGGGAAAGAAGGAGAGAGGGGAAGAGAGGGAATGACAGCAGCAAAGGAGGAGAGGGAGAGGGTTAGATAGAGGAGAATGATATAAAATCCATCTTGCTGGGGGTAAACAGAGATGCTGCGCATGTTAATAAATGGCCACATCTGCTTGATCCTGATAGACACATCCAGGCGACGGTCATCTTGCACCTCTCTCATCTTGCACCTCTCTCATCTTGCACCTCTCTCATCTTGCACCTCTCTCATCTTGCACCTCTCTCATCTTGCACCTCTCTCATCTTGCACCTCTCTCATCTTGCACCTCTCTCATCTTGCACCTCTCTCATCTTGCACCTCTCTCATCTTGCACCTCTCTCATCTTGCACCTCTCTCATCTTGCACCTCTCTCATCTGACACTCCCACTGATGGGAGCACGAGCCACATATACACACCGAGCGGCGGAGGCGCGTGCGGACGCCGCCGGTATTCCCCTGTTGGTAGAATAAAAGCCAGCGAGTGCTGTTACCGCCAGGGGATTGGAGCAATGACTTGTCAGTAAAGTCACCCACCCTCTGAGTATCTCAGACAGAGTTAGAAGTGTTTGAGACACAGAGCAAGCCGGCGAGACACTGGTATAACTGATTTAACCAGACCGGGACAGAACGACACTCACGTGCGAGGGAGATGGAGGAGGAGATGCTACCGGCAGACGAAGGTCTCTCTGCGCCCAAAATCTGCAGGCAGCAGCAGCAGCGGAGTCCGTACAGCTCTCTCAAGACCTTCCCGAGCAAACGCGCGGCGGGCAAAGCGAGATACGACAGACCCACAATGGTGGACATCCCGCAGCTCGGAGACCATCCTCAAGCTCTCAGTCATCAGCAGCAGCAGTATTCACAGCGCGTACCGCTTCCGCAAGCGTCCCTCTCCATCAGCAGCAGTCAGCAGCACCGTTTCCCCTGCGAAATCAGGCCCAGCAGCAGAGTCGCGACACCCAGCGCGGCATCAGCGGGGAGCGCCGCAGCGGCATCTTTTGGCAGCCAGAGGAGGGTCGCCCATCAGGAGACACCCGGCAGATACCCGGCGGGTCGCCACCAGTCTCCAGACTGCACCTATGGAATAAGCTCAGGTAAGTGAACGAGTTTGCCTCAGAAACTTTTATCCATCACGAAGCTGAGGACTTGAAGTGTCTAACTTTGGGGTGGGTTTTCTTACGAACATTGCAATTATTTTTAGACTCGAATACAACCGTAATTTGGGACCCACGCCCAAATGATGCGACTCATTCAAGTATTGTCGACATGTTTAATTTCACATCAGTTTTTACCTGAAAATAATGACGCCGAGAAAAAATAAACATCAGTGGCTTGGTAAATTAAAAACACCCCTGCAATAAAATGTTTTGTATCTGTTATATTAGGATGACATTGTAAGTCTGTTGGTATATTTACCAATATCTTCTTTTACATCTTTATATTAGGCTACTAACACAGTGGCCGACATACATGCTTCGGTCATTTCTAAAATGCTCTCAAATCCCTCATATTGCTTAAAAGAGAAATATATAACGAGTATCAGTATCAAGGTAGTGTTGAGTTTTACAATGAAATGTAAACACTGGTCCATGATCATAGAGAGTGTCTGACATAAAAAATGAAAGTCTCATCAAGTACTGTCAGATTTCTTTACACTCTGCGTTAAGATGCTCCCAGCATGAATTTGTGGAAAGCATCATGTTTTTCTCACCAGCTCTCTCTCTCTCTCTCTGATTTACGTAAACTTGTCAACTTCAGTAATTGTTTTTCATGTGCTTGTTGCAAGAGTTCGTTTTCATTCAGCAGAGCCTCAGGCCTTCACAAATTGAGCAGTTGTGTCATTATCATACAACAGGGTGCCTCAGTGTCTGTGCAAACATTCAGCTGATCTATTTTTCTCCACAAGTTATTGGATTGGATATCTTGCCACCTTTTTGTTTTTTTGATGTAGTGTTTAACATGCAGAGTCCATTTCGAAATTCACCTGGGCATCATTAAAAGGGCTTCAGGCTGTTCATCTTGCACCTCTCTCATCTTGCACCTCTCTCATCTTGCACCTCTCTCATCTTGCACCTCTCTCATCTTGCACCTCTCTCATCTTGCACCTCTCTCATCTTGCACCTCTCTCATCTTGCACCTCTCTCATCTTGCACCTCTCTCATCTTGCACCTCTCTCATCTTGCACCTCTCTCATCTTGCACCTCTCTCATCTTGCACCTCTCTCATCTGACACTCCCACTGATGGGAGCACGAGCCACATATACACACCGAGCGGCGGAGGCGCGTGCGGACGCCGCCGGTATTCCCCTGTTGGTAGAATAAAAGCCAGCGAGTGCTGTTACCGCCAGGGGATTGGAGCAATGACTTGTCAGTAAAGTCACCCACCCTCTGAGTATCTCAGACAGAGTTAGAAGTGTTTGAGACACAGAGCAAGCCGGCGAGACACTGGTATAACTGATTTAACCAGACCGGGACAGAACGACACTCACGTGCGAGGGAGATGGAGGAGGAGATGCTACCGGCAGACGAAGGTCTCTCTGCGCCCAAAATCTGCAGGCAGCAGCAGCAGCGGAGTCCGTACAGCTCTCTCAAGACCTTCCCGAGCAAACGCGCGGCGGGCAAAGCGAGATACGACAGACCCACAATGGTGGACATCCCGCAGCTCGGAGACCATCCTCAAGCTCTCAGTCATCAGCAGCAGCAGTATTCACAGCGCGTACCGCTTCCGCAAGCGTCCCTCTCCATCAGCAGCAGTCAGCAGCACCGTTTCCCCTGCGAAATCAGGCCCAGCAGCAGAGTCGCGACACCCAGCGCGGCATCAGCGGGGAGCGCCGCAGCGGCATCTTTTGGCAGCCAGAGGAGGGTCGCCCATCAGGAGACACCCGGCAGATACCCGGCGGGTCGCCACCAGTCTCCAGACTGCACCTATGGAATAAGCTCAGGTAAGTGAACGAGTTTGCCTCAGAAACTTTTATCCATCACGAAGCTGAGGACTTGAAGTGTCTAACTTTGGGGTGGGTTTTCTTACGAACATTGCAATTATTTTTAGACTCGAATACAACCGTAATTTGGGACCCACGCCCAAATGATGCGACTCATTCAAGTATTGTCGACATGTTTAATTTCACATCAGTTTTTACCTGAAAATAATGACGCCGAGAAAAAATAAACATCAGTGGCTTGGTAAATTAAAAACACCCCTGCAATAAAATGTTTTGTATCTGTTATATTAGGATGACATTGTAAGTCTGTTGGTATATTTACCAATATCTTCTTTTACATCTTTATATTAGGCTACTAACACAGTGGCCGACATACATGCTTCGGTCATTTCTAAAATGCTCTCAAATCCCTCATATTGCTTAAAAGAGAAATATATAACGAGTATCAGTATCAAGGTAGTGTTGAGTTTTACAATGAAATGTAAACACTGGTCCATGATCATAGAGAGTGTCTGACATAAAAATGAAAGTCTCATCAAGTACTGTCAGATTTCTTTACACTCTGCGTTAAGATGCTCCCAGCATGAATTTGTGGAAAGCATCATGTTTTTCTCACCAGCTCTCTCTCTCTCTCTGATTTACGTAAACTTGTCAACTTCAGTAATTGTTTTTCATGTGCTTGTTGCAAGAGTTCGTTTTCATTCAGCAGAGCCTCAGGCCTTCACAAATTGAGCAGTTGTGTCATTATCATACAACAGGGTGCCTCAGTGTCTGTGCAAACATTCAGCTGATCTATTTTTCTCCACAAGTTATTGGATTGGATATCTTGCCACCTTTTTGTTTTTTTGATGTAGTGTTTAACATGCAGAGTCCATTTCGAAATTCACCTGGGCATCATTAAAAGGGCTTCAGGCTGTTCACTAAATATTAATTGCACTTGTTGGAGACACAGTAGATGTTTCCAATGAAGATCAGAGTTCACAGCGCCTGCTTGTAAACAGTGCATTCTAATTTCATACCGAGCCCTTTTGGTTCATCGTTATGGAATATCCACTGCAAAAGAATGCATGGGGGATTTTTAGGCCAATCAGACAATGCTAATGGTTTCATCTTTCTAGCCCTGGGGGAAGGAGCCGTAGACACCCAAGGACACAGCTCTGAGATCAGTGCAATAATCCAAATTGCATTTAAAAGCTCCTCCAAAGGGATTGTGATTAAAACAAATGTGGCTCATAAATTTGGCTCTGCGGCACATGTTGTGTTTAATGAAATTTCATGAGGCTCACTCTGCGTGGCATAACAGAGGGAGAAAAAGAGGGAGGGAAAGAAGGAGAGAGGGGAAGAGAGGGAATGACAGCAGCAAAGGAGGAGAGGGAGAGGGTTAGATAGAGGAGAATGATATAAAATCCATCTTGCTGGGGGTAAACAGAGATGCTGCGCATGTTAATAAATGGCCACATCTGCTTGATCCTGATAGACACATCCAGGCGACGGCGGAGGCTCGCGCCCGTCACTCAGGCGGCTGCCACAGCGACTGCCTGAGCTGATAATTGTCTGCCCTGTGTCTTTGTGTGAGGGTGGCAAATTCATAATCATCCTCTTATAAGATTCTGCATCTGGGCGCGGCCAGAAGGCTGTGGGGAGACAGAGTAATTGTATGCGGTTGGTTGGTCAGCATTTTCCTTTTATTAATCTCTCTGCTTCTTCTCATCATATTTATAGAGGATTTGGAAGATATGAATAGTGTTTATTAGAACAGTGACACCATGTAAATGAGTTGTGTGCGCAGACAGACTCACAGCGTCCTTATCTCCTAAATCTGTTGGCATGCAGGACCAAGTTGCAGATTTAAAGATAGAAATGATGGAAAGTGCAAACAGAGGACATGAAGGATGTAACGAAAAAGCAAAAATGGAGCTCATAAATATCAAAATATTATTGTGAAATTAGGCTAAACTAAAATAGTCAAACCAAAAATGATTCAGACACCAGATATAATTTTTTTTTTTTACTAGTGGATGCAGGACACTATAGTTTATTTATGTAAAGTGAGGATAGCAAAATAAAATAGACTGTGACATATTATACCCAAAAATTCTTCATACAGTGGACTACCTGTAAAACTGATAAAAAAAAATTTGGGACCAAAAATTCTTCAGACACTTTGACCAGACCATGTTTTGCTTAAGTGTTTTTTTTTAATTTTTTTTTTTTACTAGTGGATGCAGGACACTATAGTTTATTTATGTAAAGTGAGGATAGCAAAATAAAATAGACTGTGACATATTATACCCAAAAATTCTTCATACAGTGGACTACCTGTAAAACTGATAAAAAAAAATTTGGGACCAAAAATTCTTCAGACACTTTGACCAGACCATGTTTTGCTTAAGTGTTTTTTTTTAAAATTGCTAATGCGACCTTTTCACACCACAGACTGAACAAAATTTAGCATTGCTTGGTAATTGGTTGAGCTAAATTGGTATTGTCTAATTATGTACTTAAATTTAGCAGCTGACAGCTATTCAGCCAAATTCATTACATACCTTTATATCAAAGTTATCTGACATTATCAAGATGAATTTGTTCGGACTCTGTTTAACTCTGAGTTCTTGTCATATTTTATTGCCATTTTCTAAACTATAACGAATAAACTGTGATAATGTGAGAAATGTTGAAGGTGTCTGAATAAATCTTGGTTTGACTGTAATAAATTAAATGTTGATTAGTAAATTAATCGATTTTTAAAATAGTATAGTAAATAGTAAAAAATAGCCAAAAAAAATACACATAGAAATTAAAGAAGATTATATTAATGTTATTTTCTTTCTTCTCTAGAGCACCAAAGGAGACATTTAGCACAATATCCAAGTACAATATAGTACTGAAAAAGCATTGTAAATATTAAAAATTAAGATTTTGCCTTGAAAATTGCTTGATACATGTATAGAAAAGTTCTACTGTAAATAACCTTTTTTTGACAACAGATGTCATGCAGGTTTTAAAATACATGATAGTGAGTAAAATGAGTTTAATTTCATTGAACTGATTTTTTGGAGAAGAAATCTGATGCTGCAATACTTGTGTACTTATGTGTGATTTTGCTCTCCCCTCAGAAAACCGTCTTATATTGGATGCTTTTGCCCAGCAGTGCAGTCGA